TAAGTGTGTTCTTTTATTATACTCTCTTATTTCCTCATTGTTCTGCTTGGTTCCAGTTCCTGATGGTAGCGGGATCTGAGCGGCTACTTTCACATCTCACGCTTAATCCATCACCATTAAAGCTCAGAAACGAATTCAGAGCGAGATACAGTCCTGTTCACTGCGGATAATGGGCCTTGTCAAGAGCGGGGGATGGGTTTGGCGCAGTTCCAGCCCGTTTTTCTTTCAGCAAGTGACAAGATTGTATCATAGCGCTCGTATCAGTCGTTTGTCTTCGCTTTCGCTTAACCGCTCCAACAACTGATAGAGAACGGTCTGATGGCGCGTTAGACTTACCTTTCTGACACGCCCCATCGTCTGCAGCGAAAAAGATCGTAAAGCTCCTGCGAGAAGATTACCGTATGTCGTACTTGTGAGGCGATTACTGCTTGTTGTGGACCTCCGGACTCGATTATCTGCCGTGATATTTGTAAGAAATATGGCTCAAACATTTGCTAACTTTACGAAACATAAGAAACTATAGGTAACACAAGAGGATAGACTCCGTCCTCGACGTTCGTAAGAATCCTTTTTGTACGTGTAGTTCTATAGGTTTCAGAGGTTGTCTCTTAACCGCTGCTCTACACTAAGTGACGACGGTTTTGCCGTCGTCATAAGTTGAAGACACGCCACCTGCAGAATCTGCCACACCCTCTGGGGTCGAAGTCTGCCACCAGAAGAGTGTCAGTGATTCTGCGTGGGGATAATTTGTAGTGCACGTCGTGGTGGTTTACTTCCTTCTCCCTCGCGGAATGTAAGTCATTGTACTCTTCTTTGTACTCTTTTTGGGAAGGGACACAAGCAATGAGTCAATCTATCTTATAGGGTAGGATGCGCTTCGGCATCTTTTCTATTCAAGCCATTTCCCGCAGAATGCGACGGGGTGTGTTTTTGAATGTCTCTACAACTTTACATGGATGCCGTGCGCACCGAAGATCCTGTCTCTGTTCTGATCTGTTCCTTTCATATTCGCAGAATGTTTGCTTCCTATTACCTTGGGCATGACATGGCATGACAGCCCATATCTTGGAGCTGGCGTCTCAGGGCACTTGTCAGCCGGGAAGCCTCTCTTCTCTTTCCTTTTTTCTTCCTCCCTTCTGTGATCCCTCCTCCTTTACCTCTCCCTTGAACTAGTGTAGATGCTTCGAAAAAATTCCCCTGGACCATCGCAGCGAGAGCACGTCTGGTTCACAAGTGCCCCGTAACCGCAGGGGGGGAGGGTGGCGGCTGCGTTATTCATTTGGAAGTGGCGGCTACTGCCCTTCTGATGAGTTAGTCTTGTTATCGGACAATATTTGTCAAACACCAGGCAGGATAACAGTTGCCTCAGAGTGAAATAACTCCGACGCCATGTAGAGTTGACGTACGCAGCCACATCCTCCCATAGACGGACTGTACTTGAGATGCGGTAGACGTGGCTGTGTATTTCAACTAAGCGTGGCGGTTGTTGTGCTTTTGGTGATATAAGAGGAGGGGTCAAGGCGCGGGTTGATGGTATGGGCCGTAAGTTTCTGGAACGGGAAAATATATTTTCTTCGTGGATCCCGGACTGAAAGTGAACGCTGACGGTTACATCGATCAACTCGAGGAGAATATCCTGCCTCATGTCGTCGCCTGTACCATCTTGGAAACTTCGTACTGCTACAGGATTGGGTGCCAGCACATGGAATCGAAGGGCGTTGGAAAAACTCTCGCCTACTTAGAAATGAAGGGCGTTG